TTGTGGGGTTTTTTTTTTTGTCTGTTTGGTTTTTCTTACGCAGGTACAAGTGTATCTCTAGCCCTACCCTTCTGAGGTTGTATAATCAATATTATCTGCATGCAGATACATGTAATAATCCATGTAGGTGGTATAATCAATACTATCTACATCAGCATCTTTTTATGTATACAACATTTTCAAGAAATGAGACCATTGTGTTTTTGTCTCATTCTCAGAACTATCCAGGTTTCTGTCCTGGGATAAAATATTTATTATTGGTTAGTACTATTACTGGTCTATGTTTGCTCAGAATGGAAACAAGATTGAAATGTAGTCATTCACATTCAGAAACCTGAAAATGTATTTATTATTAACTTACTCAGTAGTAATTTCRTAGCTCTCTATTTGGAAAAATGTATTTAAATGAAAGTGTGAAATCATTTRAGTTTCAATTAATTTATTTGTTTCACACCAAATAGGAAACTTAATAAACTGATCTTTCAATATTAATATTAAATTGGAGTGAAACTCCTATCAGAATAGAAGAATGTTTGATAAAACTGTTATGATGAAAATTAGAAAACTCCTATTCCAGTTGATAGCTCAAACAAATTTAGAAAATAAACAAACTGGATATCAAAACMATAAATTTGAAAAGACTGGTTATTTTGACAAACTACAAGAGTCTGAGGAAGAAGTCTAAATATTTGAGGTCAAGCTGTTCCTTAGAGCTTCTCTAAGATCTACAATAAATTCCAGGTGTGACCAACAGAACATTACATCTATGTCCAAAAAAGAGACATTCTAACAGTTACATAAACTCCTTCATGGTTACATAATTTGTAGGTCTACCCAAAGAAGACCACAAATGAAGAATCTCTGAATTTCTAGATTGGCCATAGCAATYAGTACTAACTGGACAGCTCCTAAAATTCTCCTTCAAGGGCTTTTTTGTTTCTTCACTTTTCTTCAGAGAATTTTCACTCACCCATTTTTTAAAAAGAGAGAAGAATGGTTCTCTGGAAGAGAGAACCAGGTTATGGAAATAATAATCTCCAATTCTTCTAACAGAATTTGAACTCAGCCTGATTGGAAGGGAAAATGGCAGATATTTTTATAGTTTTATTTAGAGCTCAGGTCAAACCCAGTTCTCCTTCAGACACTAAGGAGTTATTTACAGCCAG